CTGGTTTATAGTTATGCTTAATGTATTATCTATAGAATGAATGCAAAAAACTCGAGAAGAAGGAAGCGCAAGCACAATAAAAATGAATGAAATAGTTCTGACGCGCATGCGCGTCAGAATGTCCAATGCGGTGCCAAATTTCTGACGCGCTTGCGCGTCAGTGTCGTCAACGTGTCAAGAGATCCAGAATGTTTTGAGTCTTTACCCGCTTAAGCAGTGACTTTTTCGTGAGTTCAAAGTCCAAGGAGCGATACAAATTGAAAAAAAATTCCGCAACTTCTCTCATTCGCCTTCTGATCTTGCTTTGAATCTGGAAACCGCCCGTTTGATAAGCGACTGCCTCCGATTCATGCTTTATTTTACCTACCAGATTGTCCCCCGGAAACAACTGTATTTCGGAAAGAAAAAGGACACTCAAATGCCTCATACAATGTATAAAATTAAAGCGAATGTATGCCGCAGCTATCCCACACCCCGTATAACACAATACATACAATGTCGATGAACTGGTGAAATCTCAAAGCGTCGAATAGACGTTATAAATTTTAGTCGTTGCAGGCAACATTTCTTTTCAGCAGCTCAGCTCAGGGAACTTATTTCCAAGGAGTTCTCAATTTTTTTTGAAAAAACGCGATGTTTCCGAGATGAAATAGACTGTTGAACATTTATTCGGGATGCTTAACTCCTTCCTTTTGAATCCTTGCTCGTTTTTCTTCAATTCGTCCACCTAAATAAATTTGGTACTAGTATTTATATATTATATTAATTCAGAACCGAAATAAGATACATCAAAGGTGCGACGTATTGACACTAAACCAAATTAAAAGCGGTGCGCAGACCCTCTTGAACTATCGTTTTTCTTTCAAACCAAAAGTGGTTGAACATATGCGAATGTAAAAGCAGTTCCAGCCGCTATACAAGTGCCAATGCCGCGAAGCGATTGAAACGGCATGATTGGTCACAATCGGCAGAGATCGATCCACCTTATTATTCTTGCTGGTGACTCACCTTGCCACCGAGTCTTTACACACATATGTACACGTGACACCTTCGAATGCCTCTCCAGTTTTCAAGCAAAATGTATACATAATGCATCGTATGCATAATGCATTCCGAACTATATATCCGTTCATCCATTACGATACGTAGAGATCCCATATATTTCCCTACTTGTTCGCATCAAACGCTTTGACCATAAAGAAAAAGTGCAACGAGCTCCACTCTCGTCGCCTGAAGCATATCCTTTGCTAAGCCAGAAATCGTTTCACAAACGGCCTCACCTCATCAATGAATTTGTCGTATGTGATATGGCGTTGCATTCCACGGTCAATATGGTGTAGCGTACTCGGGTTAGTCTAAGACAACGGTTACCGCGTTATTGGAACACCGTTTCTACGCAGGCAAAACAAGTAAAATAGGTAAAATAAAAGGTATAGCTTACCTTTTGGCACTAAAAGGCTCTGGTGTTTTGGCGATTTTCGTGCCAGTGCTGTGGACACCCCTAAATGTTTACCATCGTGAGGTTTATGGAAAAATTCTATATGATCATGCAGGAGCGCCTTTCCTGTAATGCGTGCTCATGCCATATTGCGCGCAACACTCGGAGTCTTGCTTAAATACACTGCGTTTCATAATTATAGGTCCACCCTAAATTTTTGCTACCCCAAAGTTGCTGTGCATTTTTTGGAAATGCTGCTATCACCGTTAGATTCCTCATCACGGAAAACCTTCATAGTGTTTTTCTGACAAAGTTCCCCCTCAAGTAACCCAATTAACTTTTTTCAGAACGAATTTTCACCGTTTCATGAATATCGGGCCACTCATAAAAAGTTTCCATTTCTCATGATCCGTGAAGGGAATGAGGGAAGCGGGGATATATGTGAGCTTAGTCGACGTCGAGTTTGCCATACCTCGTATTACTCGTATCTCTTTCCCAGTGATAAGCTCAAACCAGAGCCCTTACTGAAGTTTGATGGCTGAGAAGCAGAACTGCCTCCCATGTCGGCCGGCTCATGATGCATAAGCAACTATGTGCGAAATCCCGGTCTGTGCGGGAAGAAGAGTAGCCTTGGTAAATAATGACAGCGTTTCATTGAAAATCAAGAGGAATTGGGCGTCTTCTGTCGAATTGGATAAGGCGTCCGAACAAAGTCCGTGCTGAAATGCGGCCTTCCGTAAGCAAAACCACCGTGTTGTGAATAAGCCAGCAGAGCAATAACATCTTCAGCGGATTGAAGAAGCGCGTCCCAAGATTATTTGAGCGCTACAAGATCGCACGTCTCCATTTCTAGGTGGAAAAGGGCTCAAGTTAATGAACGAAGGTGTGGCTGCCAGGACCCTTCGTGATCTTGGACTCCACCTCCTCGTTTCATGCTACGGGTGATCTGGAATCGGCGTGAAAAAGTTTATTCTAAGTGGATCTGATGGAAAATGAGGGTACAGGAGGGTTCCGTGAAAATCGCAGATGGTTTCGAAGTAAGGTAATTTTGGCGGAGAATTCCTTGTGGTTTGAGGCACCTTTGAACGACTGAGCGGCTAGAGCTCGTATTTGTTTCCTTTCACGAGGATTCCATAGGGTATCGTTAAGTCCTTCTGAAGCGACTTTTACCATCTTTTCGACAACAGCCCTCTCGAACCTTGATTTTTACGCACGATAACGCAGCTGTCCATGCCGGTCCTTACACGCCAGATGGAAGTGCAGGAAAAAATGTGGCAGTTATCTATTGGCCACCATGTTATATGAATCAGTTTCCAATGGAGAATCACAGGGCCTTAATTGTTATAAAGTTCCACAGCAAAGAAAAGCAAAATGGAACAGCCGAAGAGCTGAAAACGTCGATCATCAGCGCGCAGGCAAATTTCGATCCCATTGTAATAGCTAATTTGGTTACCAGCATTCCAAAACGTATTATTGTGTTTCTTATGACTAATGGAGGACCATCCACATTATTGAAAATTTTTTACGTTTTTTTTTGTTGTAATAAAATCTCTCGACAAGTGATGTGTAGTCATATTTGCGAAACGGTGAAAATACGTTCTAAGGAAGATATTTAATAATTCTGAATCGAGATTTCTCCAGAAATCAAGTATCAAGGTTTTTCGTTATGGGGAAACTGGTAATAGCGGCATTTTCCAAAAATGCACGTTTGTTGTTGGTGTTAGCAACTTTGGAGTTAGCAAAAATTTGAGGGTGGACTATAAGTATATGAAAGCAGTGTATATAACGTGCCTTCACTAGAGCAGAACTCTTTTTGTACCTTATGCAATGCTGATTGCTGTGCTGTTCGCATCTCACTTGCATGAACGAATGGTTAAGCTTTGCTGCGCTTAGTGGGCACGAGATGGCTACATCATTAACGAGTGCGTTGTTAGATGTTTAATCTAGGCTTTATCATATTCGACATTAATTTCCAGAGTTATTCTTATTCTTCTATATTCAAACAACATATCAGTCATTAAAATTCTAGCACGAAAGAGGTTGAGCGTTTTGCAAGCACACAGTATATACCGACATTGTCGCAACATGATCCCAAGCGGCGTTAGGGCTCTTCCGCGATGACGTCGAAGGTCGAAGAAGGGAAGACTTACCTTGTGGAAGGGTAGTTCCCAGTCCACTAATGATGCCTGCAATTTGCGCAGCGTAAGGAGGGTGTGTGTGTTTAACCGCCCACGGCTGATCTAGGCACCTACGTCAGACTTTGCATCAGGGCGGTTCGTCTAGCGAATTCGGGGCAGCGACGTTTTTGTCACGCGAAGGTTGAACGGATGCATCAAGTCAACTTGTCCATTCGGATTTGAAGTTTTTGAGAACTCTCTCTTTACACCTTGGCTCTTAGTCTGTTTGCGTTTTTATTTTAGCGCTAGAAAAGTTGACCCTATGTTATGAGATGGTGTCTGTGTGTGCCCCATTTTGTCAAATGCGTGTGTCGCTAGTATATCGTGCGATTTATTGATACATCATTCAATCCGGCGGTGCAATCTTTTACTCGGCAGATCGCAGGGTTTAACCTATTGGTTCAGCCTTGACCTCCTGTGTCGTGGTGCTGGTGGTTAGTTCGCGACCATAGCATGTGTGTATGTGTCTTGGTACTTACCATTTGTAGTTGTATTGAGTGTGTGTTGCAGGTCTGAGCCGCTCAGCCCAGACGCGAATAATCGCATCGTTGCGTTGGTAGTAAAGGTGGCGGGAGTGTCTATATTTGTGATACTGCATACGTTTTTTGTTTTTCGTTCATCCTGATTCAAGCTGCACACCTCGCTGTTATTGCGTTATTCGCGGAATATTCTACTTCTGACCTTAAACTTCGCTTTTGAGATACGCAGGCCCGAGCGTTTGAGCGAAGTGAACATCATTGAGCCGATTGTTCTCGAAACTATCACGCTCTCGCTTCCTTCAACTCTTTCAGTTCCTCGAGACATGCACACATGTCTTCCACTAATTTGTTGTGTCCTCGAATGCGAAAAAAGCTGACACTTATGTCTTGCGCAGTCGGTGGGATGCTTTTCTTTATTCTCCGTTTCTGTTCCGGCGTCAATTCCGCACCTTTACCCTCATTCTCGAACGAAATAATCTTTTCGTTTTCAGTTAAGTGTGTACTGCAAAACGTGAAGTAGCGACAAGCACTCACCGCAGCACCTGTGATGACGTATGTAGGAGCTAGTGCGTTGTGGTAGCAGTCGGTCTGAATAGTTATTATCATACGGTGTCCGTCACAAAATGTAGCAGACCTACCGAATTCCAGTACAACATATCTGCCACTGGGTAAAAGCGTTCATAATAATGAACGTGTCCCCAGAATCCCAAATCCACATCATACTGAAGAAAAGGCTTCTCGAGGCCGGGCATGTCATCGTAGCCATTCCGAATCTCAAATGAGAGTGTTATAGGTATGCAGCAATGCCGGCAAATAAAAACACTCAAACGTTGTTTATATTACACTTCATCTGGGTGGTTTCAGAAAGTCTCGGGTTCACACTGCACACTGTAGATTATTATTAATCCCCCAATTTCCAAATCCTGGCTATACAATTCTGGAAACCTTCAAAGGAGCGCTCAGCCTTAGAGCTATAAGCCGAGACTTTCAGCATCCCTAGAGAATGATTCGAATTAGAAGTCGGTCAGGAAGGTTTAAGAAGGATTCGTTTACTTAACCCTGAGCCGATCCGAGATATAATCGCATCGTTCAAGTGGTCGCAGTGCCCTCACCTGTTTGCCCATATGCAGATTTTATTATTAAATCTCCACTCCCTAGATCTCGATCTCTAGCTAAAGTGGAGTGAGCAAGGGTTCGTATTAAACTCGAAATGGTATAAAATCACAGCAGGAACGCTAAGCCGTCAATCTGACTGACCATGAGTTTAGTTGTCTTTATACTTGGAAACTAGTTTCGAGCCGGTTTAAATTCACACAAGAAATGAATACGAGTACGGCGAGAGTAGGAATATGTTACCACTCCATCATATCTGTCACTTCTGGTGCAGAGCACACGCGTTTCGTCGATATCTTCATCCTCAGTCTCCTGCATGTGAAACAGTTCTTGTTGTTAGATAACCATCCCTGACCTCACAGTACAGAAACAAGAGGCCTTCGGGAGGAAAGCGGTACGGGCTCTGATGTGGTTATTACTAGGAGGATAAGAAAGTCTTGAGCCGCCTGACATTTTTTCCTGCTTTTAATTTTTTAATTCAGACTACAGTGGAATTCATTTTAGTAACCATCATTGTTACTCACTACAGCGTACCGTCTATTGGGCAGGTTAAAAAATCTCCTTCTCTTAGAACTGTAAAGATCGGAAGTCAAAGCAAAACAGCCTATGCGAGCTTCTGTCTGTCCAGTCCATGATAATGCCAGGCCCCATGTGGCTAAATGTGACCCTAGAAAAATCGGAGAAGCTGGGCTGGGACACGGCGCCCCTCCCCCATTCTACTGACATTGATCTCACTGACTACCACTTATGTCGCCCCCCCCCCCACTCCCTGAGGCCTTCCCAGCCGAGAAAAATTCAAAAATGTTGAAGTAGTTAAACAGAGTCAGCGATTTCTTTGACTCTCAAACTTCCTAGTTCAAGGAGATGAGATAATGAGGGCTAAATATATGGAAATTCGGGTACGCCAGTAAGACCAAAAAAGTGGTAGAATGTAATCACAAATAAGAAACTTCTCTCCGTGGTGAACCTGCTTCTTAAATGTACTAACAATAAGTCATAGACCCCAAAGATCAAATATTAGGTTGGCAAGTTTGAAATGTCGCTTCCGTTTGTGCCTTTGTTTCTCAGCTTAAACACAATCTCTTAGGATGGGAGACCATTCATTCGAGAGAGCGATTCAGTGCGCATATTGCGAAATCTTAGGCGCCACTGAGCGGATGTTCTTCGAGCCAAAACTTTTGCTCGAAGATGACTGATCAGAAATCATCGTCTGAGCGTATATATTCAAGCAAGGAAAAACGGCCAACGAATCCACTCATTGTGTGCAAAACATTGAGCAGTAACACTTAGTCTCTGATGCACTTTCAGCTATGGTTTCAGCTCTTCCAAGACTGAGGTAAAGGACCTGGGACGAAGGTCGTGGATTTTGACCTCTAGCTCTAGATGACGGAGAAATAAAGAAAGCCAACGAATTGAGTCCTCGACAAACCGCACAAAACTTGCATGGAGATTCAGTTGTGTCAACAGAAAAATTTAAAAGTTCCTACGTGCGACTGTTAGGCCTTTCAGGAAAGAAAATGGGTTCGGCCTATTCTGAGCGACACGAGCAAGCAGTACTGGTTGCCAATACTTCGCCGTAATAATCTCGAAGAGAAAAGAAGCTCTCGACTTTCGTTGCAAGTGCACTTCACAACAGGATGTTCTCCGATGATCTAGTGAGAAGATGGCCACGGCTGGGAGCAGATGGACAGCTGAGGATGACTTCGAAATTGGACATCCACGGAAAATAAGTCTTGCTATGTGTGGTGAAACAGTATAAGACTGGCTTCTATAGAGAAGCTGATTGTGGGTCAGACAGTTACAGCTGAACTCTGCGTATATGCCCTCCACTCACATGGTCCAAGCGCTGCATCTTCAAGGGTGAATTCGCCCAATGTAAAATTATTGCACAATGACGGAAGACCACGTGTCGTGAAAATCACGCAACAAGAAAGTCGAGGAGTTGGGCTGGAAGTTCTACCTCCAGCGCCATATGGCGCCAGGTCTGGCGCCGTGTCACTGTCACTGACCAGGTCTCGCAACACTCGGCCAGCAAACCAATTCAATAACCGTGAGGACGTCAAGATTCGAGTGCTCAACTTTTTCGAGTCGAATCAAAAAGAGTTCTGCGCGATAGGCATCCATGTTTTGCGTAGCGAAAAGTGATGAGCCTGTGACACAGGTGATGAAGATGTTTCAGGTCCACGGGCCTAATTATTGATTTCATAATAGAAATAATTGATGATCGAAACGACATTTCAATCTGGAAAACTATTTATACAGTGCGTACCAAAAGTATGTGGACACCCTGGAATCGATTCTCAGGGGTCAGCTAAAGGCTTTTATGTCATGAAACCTCCACCATTCAACTCCTAGTGGTCGATAACCTACAATGATATTTTCGGCAAAAGATTTCGTTCTAACTTAGCGAACTATTTTTCATGGAAAGTTTTTTCTTTGTATCAAAATTATGTGGACACTTTTTGAAAAACGGCAATATCTTCAGAATCTGAAATCGGTAGGCCTACCAAAGTTTCTAGTAAGTTGAGCCATTCTGTTTGGCATGCTATGAATGGGGTCTGGATACATGTCTTGCAGATCTGTTCCCAACTAGCAAATTTCACCGACGTGTTAGGTCACTTGTGATATTACTCTTTTGTTCAATGACGTAGAGACCGCGAACCACGATACCTCTACGTTTTCAATAAGGATGAAGTCTGAGGAATACGCTAGCCGACTTGCCAATCAAAGCCGTTGCGTTTAGCATTTTTCCAAATGGAATGGTGTCAGGGACCTCCCCTGCAAAACAAGTGATTTGCAACCATGACTTTTCGAAAAAGGTTGTAGCCGGGACTCAAGCACCTCATTATAATCCTAGTTGTCTACCTAACATGTTGGCAAGCCAAACTTCAATGTCCCCCTCCTTTTGGAACCACCCCAGACCTTTGATGAACATCTTCCGAATTGTCTCTTCGAGCACATCTGCGGGTCCGACCAAAGTCTCTCCAAAAACCTCAAGACCCACCCGAATAGTAAGGAATAAGCTTCTTTCTGCCAGTCGAGTTGGTCTATGAGAGAAATTTCCACAGAAAGTCTTTTATACTAATTTTACCATTTCCACGAAAGCGTCTGTGTGGGTTCAAAGTATCATGTTGTGATCCTTTTTTTGAGTGGGAATTCCAACCTTGCCAACCTGAACCCGCATTCATATACAAAGCCTTCTTCATCTTCTTTCGTGTCGTGTGCTCAATTGATTGAATGAGACACCGATCGGTCATTTTTAAGATAGGGAAGATCATTTATGCGTAAAGTTGAGTAGTACGAAAAGAATAATTTGAGAAAATTAAGGCTATTCTTCTCCTGTTTTGAACAAGTAGCGATTGAGAACAACCCTCAGTCAAGGTCGAGAGCTTAGCATCAGGATTTCGGATTTCTCTCCAAACCTACGAGGACGCATGACTGGTTGACGTGCTATTTCGCAATAGGAAGGTTCAGAAGCATGGGGATCCCATTTCTGTGCTCGGTCTTCTTCAGAAAAACGCTTGCCGTGAAGAGGAATGATGCCAGAATAAGTAACGAAAGGAGAAGTAAAAATAGGTTAGGAAATCGATGCAAAAACTTCATCTGCCTCAGGGTGTCCACATAATTTTGATACAAAGAAAAAACTTTCCATGAAAAATAGTTCGCTAAGTTAGAACGAAATCTTTTGCCGAGAATGTCATTGTAGGTTATCGACCACTAGGAGTTTGAATGGTGAAGGTTTCATAACACAAAAGCCTTTAGCTGACTCCTGAGAATCGATTCTAGGGTGTCCACATACTTTTGGTACGCACTGTATATAGTTTGAGGCGTTTCGAAAGAACACACCGTTTTTCTCTTCCGCCTCATAGCTCTTTGACTTTCTGTTTTTTTAAAGATTATCCTATCCGCAAGCGCGCAATCTCTCGCACATTTTGGACCCAACATTGTGTAGCCGCTTCACTCTGGAGTCTACACGCTAGCAATAAAGGATAGCTTATGCTACATGAGTGTAAGTTGAGCTCGAAACGAATGCTCTGCATCTACTAGAATCAACGAAGCTCGGGGTGAAGGCACGGTTGCAGAGAGGATTGATCGAGAACGTTTGTTAATTGATTTTGTTTTTGTTTTTCCTTCGATTTTATTCATAAATTTGGGTGTGGAATGAAAACGGGGGACAATTTCTACTCAACTTATAAGACACACCATCATGTTGTCAAAGCCGGTGCAATCATCACTG